TATATTGGGTAAGAAAAAATTTCATTAGTGATAAATATTTTAAAATGAAACGTAAAATGTGTTTTGATTTTATAATTCTTTTTAGTGAAAACATACAAGCATTACAACATGTTGATGCCAGAAATGCACAGAGAAAGCACGATAAAGAGTTTATAGAATGGTTTGAAAATCATGTAAGTAAGAAAAGACATAGTAGTTATGATCTATTTGTTTGTATTTATCTACTTATTATTAAACATGATACTATTGTCTATGTAGGTTACTGAACTATATAATGAAGGAAGCAATGAAGTTGACAAACAACTATTAGATTTAGCTCGAGGTCCATCACAAGAAGTAATATACTACAAAGGATATATTGTTAATGGTTTTAGGTTTCGTATAAAGGATGTTGATGATTTAAGAAAAACACAATAGTGGAGTAGTAGTGAGAGGAACTGACAATCGAGAGTACTTTGGTGGGTTGCATGAAATTATTGAATTGCAGTATATGGGAGGAAATAATGTTGTTTTGTTTAAATGTAAATGGTGGGATATCAATAATCGTGGTAAAAGAATTAGAGTTGATGATCATGGACTGACTAGTGTGAATATGACATACACATTTGCTACAAATGAGCCATTTGTATTGGCATGTCAATCTGAACAAGTTGTTTACCTTGAGGATAGAAGAAATCCAACTTGGTATTTTGTGTTGAAGGTTGATCCAAGAGATTATTACAAGATCCCTGTAATCAAAGATACAGATTGTCAAGAAGAAGATGGTGATGAAGGAATTTAATGTTGATAATTGTTTGGTGATGGTCACTTCTTTTTGAATTACTTCTTGTTATTTGGTACTATGAACCTTGTATTAATGATTTTTCTAAGCGACTGCCCAATTATATGACTTTATTAATATGTTTAGAAAATTATTTGAATTGAATATTATGTACTGCTTATTTGTTAGAGACTGAATCGTAGAATTATCTGTATTTGAGAAAGTTATAATTTGCAGGTTGAAAGTGCAATTTCTACTCTTAAGTGCAATATATGATTGGGAAAAAGATGAAAAACTTCTCATCTCATAGAGCAAAGTTCAAATTCCAAGATAGAAATAGTATAAATAGTCATGAGAATAGTACTGTAGGGCGACTACATCTATATCTTCAACAAAATCTAAAACACAAGTTGGTCTAGAAGCTTCATCATCGTTTACAGGAGAAATTGGATCAACTACTAGTTATGAAAGGACTGTTAATGGAGGTAATATTTTTTTTAGTTAACTTAATTTTATTTGATTTGTTTCTAACTCACCCTTTCTTTTTTCTTTTTATTTCAGAATCTTCTTTTGTAGGGCCAAGAAAAGTGTGTGGTCCCACACACAATCTTAAACTAGTTAAATTACCTCATGAGATTAGATTTGAAGTATCATGGAGGAACAAAAGACCTGTTGGAGATAATGCTGATATTTTCAAAAGCCAATGAACTATTTTAACTCGACAAGTCAACTTTACACCTCTACAAGTGAAAAGTTGGAAAGATAATGACATGACAACAAAAAGAAAGCTATTTGAGCTTGCATTAGTATGTGATATAAAAACTTAATAGTTATTTTATTTACTTATTACTTGCTTTTATTGCCATTGTTTTTTTGACATGTAGGAGCGATTTAAAGTTGAAGGTCATGAGGCTTCTGTTTTACGTCAACTTAATCGATCTTATAATAATTGGAGAGATAGCTTGAAGAAAAAATGGTT